AAAAAAAAAAAAAAGAAAGAAATTGATAAATTCCTGGACACTTGCACTCTCCCAAGCCTAAACCAGGAAGAAGTTGAAACCCTGAATAGACCAATAACAAGGGCTGAATTGAAGCAGCAATTAATAGTCTACCAGTAAGAAAAGTCCAGGTCCAGATGGGTTCAAGCCGAATTCTACCATACATACGAAGAGGAGCTGGTATCATTCCTTCTGAAATTATTCCAAACAATCAAAAGAGAGAGAATCATTCCGAATTCATTTTATGAGCCCAACATCATCCTGATACCAAAACCTGGCAGAGACTCAACAAAAAAGGAAAACTTCAGGCCAATATTTATGATGAACAGCAATGCAACAATCTTCAATAAAATACTGGCAAAACGATTGCAACAGCGTATCAAAAAGCTTATCCACCATGATCAACTAGGCTTCATCCCAGGGCTACAAGGCAGGTTCAACATTCGCAAGCCTGTAAAAGTGATCCACCACATAAACAGAACCAAAGATAAAAACCACATGATTATCTCAATAGATGCAGAGATGGCCATCAACAAAATTCAACAGCCCTTGATGCTAAAAACTCTCAATAAACTAGGTATCGATGGAACATATCTCAAAATAATAAAAGCTATCTACAATAAAAGCACAGCCAATATCATACTGTGGTTTTATTGGGCAAAAACTGGAAGCATTACCTTTGAAATCTGGCACAAGACAAGGATGCCCCTCTCACCACTCCTATTCAATATAGTTTTGGAGGTTCTAGCCAGAGCAATCAGGCAAGAAGAAGAAATAAAGCATATTCAATTAGGAAAGGAGGAAGTTAAATTGTCCCTATTTGCAGATGACATGATTGTATATTTAGAAGACCCATCATCTCAGCCCAAAAATCTGCTTAAATTGATAAGTAAGTTCAGCAAGGTCTCAGGATACAAAATCAATGTGCAGAAATCACAAGCATTCCCATACACCAGTAACAGACTAAGAGCCAAATCAAGAGGGCACTCCCATTCACAATTGCCACAAAAAGAATAAAATACCTAGGAATCCAACTAACAAGAAACATAAAGGACCTCTTCAAGGAGAACTATAAACAACTGCTCAAGGAAGTAAAAGAGGACACAATTAGATGGAAAAACATTCCATGTTCAGGGTTAGGAAGAATCAATATTGTGAAAATGGCCATACTGCCCAAAGTAATTTATAGATTCAATGCTATCCCCATCAAGCTACATATGACCCTCTTCACAGAACTGGAAAGAACCACCTTAAACTTCATATGGAACCAAAAGAGAGCCCACATCGTTAAGGCAATTCTAAGCAAAAAGAACAATGCTGGAGGCATCATGCTACCTGACTTCAAATTATACTACAAGGCTATAGTTAACAAAACAGCATGGTACTGTTACCAAAACAGAGATAGAAACCAACGGAATAGAACAGAGGCCTTGAAGGCAACGCCACATATCTATAACCATCTGATCTTTGACAAACCTGACAAAAACAAGCAATGGAGAAACAATTCCCTGTTTAATAAATTGTGTTGGGAAAACTGCCTAACCATGTGGAGAACACAGAAACTGGACCCCTTCCTGACACCTTACACTAAAATTAACTCCAGATGGATTAAAGACTTAAACATAAGACCTAACACCATAAAAACCCTAGGAGAAAACCTAGGCAATACCATTCAGGACATAGGTGTAGGCAAGGACTTCATGACTAAAACACCAAAAGCAATGGCAACAAAAGCCAAAATAGACAAATGTGATCTAGTTAAACTACAGAGCTTCTGTACAGTCAAAGAAACGATCATTAGAGTGAACTGGCAACCAATAGAATGGGAAAAAATTTTGCAATCTACCCATCTGACAAAGGGCTAATATCCAGAATCTATAAAGAACTAAAACAGATTTACAAGAAAAAAAACAAGCAAACCCATTCAAAAGTGGGCAAAGGATATGAACAGACACTTTTCAAAAGAAGACATATATGAGGCCAACAAACATATGAAAAAATGCTCATCATCACTGGTCATTACAGAAATACAACTCAAAACCACATTGAGATACCATCTCACGCCAGTTAGAATGGCAATCATTTACAAATCTGGAGATAACAGATACTGGAGAGGATGTGGAGAAATAGGAACACTTTTACACTGTTGGCGGGAGTGTAAGTTAGTTCAACCATTGTGGAAGACAGTGTGGCGATTCCTCAAGGACCTAGAAATAGAAATTCCATTTGACCCAGCAATCTCATTACTGGGTATATATGCAAAGGATTATAAATCATTCTATTATAAAAACACATGCACACGTATGTTCACTGTGGCACTGTTTACAATAGCGAAGACCTGGAACCAACCCAAATACCTATCAATGATACACTGGACAAGGCAAATATGGTCCATATATACTGTGGAATACTATGCAGCCATAAAAAACGATGAGTTTATGTCCTCTGTAGGGACATAGAGGAGTCTGGAAACCATCATTCTCAGCAAACTGACACAAGAACAGAAAAACACCACATGTTCTCACTCATAGGTGGCTGTTGAACAATGAAAACACACGGGCACAGGGAAGGGAGCATCACACACTGGGGTCTGTTGGAGTGGGGCTAAGGGAGGGACAGCGTGGGGTGGGGAGGTTTGGGAGGGATAACATGAGGAGAAATGCCAGATATAGGTGACTCGGGATGGAGGCAGCAAACCACATTGCCATGTAGGTACCTATGCAACAATGCTGCATGTTCTACATATGTACCCCAGAAACTACAGTGCAATATATATATACACACACATATATATATAAAAACATTTCCCTATGCAATAAAAACTTGTGCACACACACACACACACACAAAACAAAAATTAAAAAATGCTTGAGGAAATGGATACCCCATTTACTCTGATGTGATTATTACGCATTGTATGCCTGTATCAAAAATATGTTATCAACTTGATCCCATGATCAAGTTACATTATAGTAGAACTCTGTCTTAGCAGACAAGAGAGACTCTTCACTTGCCTAAAAGAAGAAGTGAGCTAGCCAGGCATGGTGGCTTATGGCTATAATCTCAAAACTTTTAGAGGCTGAGGCAGGAGGACCATTTGAGGCCAGAAACCCAGCCTGGGAAACATAACAAGGCTTTGGTGCTACAAAAAACAAATAAACAAACAAAAAAATTAAAAACTAGCAGGGTGTCATAGTGCATGCCTATAGTCCTACATACATGGGAGGGTGAGGCAGGAGGATGGTTTGAGCCCAGGAGTTCAGGCTACAGGAGTTCAGGCTGCAGGGTCATGCCATTGCACTCCAACCTAAGTGACAGAGTGAGACCCTGTAGAAGGAAAGAAGGAAGGAGGGAGGGAGGGGAGGAAGGGAGGAAGGAAGGAAGGAAGGAGGGAGGGGAGGAAGGGAGGAAGGAAGGAAGGAAGGAGGGAGGGGAGGAAGGGAGGAAGGGAGGAAGGAAGGAGGGAGGGAGGGAGGGGGAGGGGAGGGGAGGGGGAGGAAGGGGAGGAGAAGGAGGAAGCGGGGGAGGAGGCGGTGACGGCGGCAAGTTGTTATGATATGAACAATCTATGGAAAAGACCATGTGGCAGGAAAATGCAGACTGTGCCTCAGCCCTACAACTGCAAGGAACTGAAGTTTATCATATCCACTTGAGCTTGGAAGAGGATTCTCAAGATACATAATGGAATAGAGGCGAGCCAGCACTTTGATTACAGCCTGGCGAGCATAAGTTGATTACAGCATAGGACACAGCTAAGCCATGCTCAGATGCCTAACCCACTAAAACTGTGAGATAATATAAATTGTTCAAGCTGCTAAATTTGTGGTAACTTGCTATGCAGTAATAAAAAACTAATATCATAAAGTAGTACATTTTATATTCACTATTTTATGTGGTACTCTCATTTTTTACAAAATTTATGTTGTCTAGTTCTTGAGTCATTCAGGTGTATACATACTTGTACACTTGCACATACTTGTACACTTAACTCCAGCCTTTCACTGAAATGGGTGATATAATGCTAGATCGTTAAGAAATTAACTTGTAGCAAATGAAAAAAAAATATTCAAAAGCCAAAATGTAATAACAGGTTACCTGTATTCCTTTGATGGGATCACATGAATCAAAGTTAGGTATAGAGTTTACAATTTCTGAAGAAATCTTTAGTTGCATAACGTTTATACTTTTTTAAGACAAATAGAGTAGCTATTGCTTTACACATTTGGGTTATGAAAAATTTGAAATTCAAATAGGTGAAAGGGAATTATCCAAAGTCATATAGCCAGTAAGTGGCTGTTCTGATTCCCAATATGACACTCTTTCCTCCATGGTATTCCCTGTAGTTGTGTAAACCATGGTAATTTTCATAATAGTGGCATAAATTTACCTGGATTTTTATTTCCCATTTCATTTTCTGAACCTTGATGAGAAAAGTCCATCAATAAGAAAGACATTATCTCAGGAAGAATTTTAGTGCACACACACACAGAGAGAGAGAGAAAGAGAGAGAGAGAGAGAGAGAGAGAGAGAGAGAGACATATATACCTATAATCACATACATAATAATGTTGTCTCTACATATGACTATCAGAGCAAATGTTAGCCAAATATTGATGCATAGAGAGAGTTGGTGAGTTACCTGTACTTGATGCAAATCTTCTATTTTAAACTCTTTTTCTGGAGACATCTTCCTGTAACATAAAATGTTCTAAAATGCAACATGGTATTTTTAAATGCATTACTGCTTTGCTTTCTTGAGAATGTTTTAAACCATTTTAAAATGATGAAGTTTTTTTAAAAAAAATTCATATTTCTAAGAGATACAAAATTCATACAGGCTAAATTACAAATAACTGAAAAACATTTTTCAAGCCAACTTCTCACTGATATTATTAAAATATGAAAAGACTGAGATTTTCAAAGCATATTGGCCATTTGTTCCTCTTGGATCATTTTTTCTATTATAAGTTAAAGGTCAGGTTAAAATTAAGCTAAAGGCCATTTGTCCCATGAATTTCTTTTCAGGATTTGTGGAATTCCATAATATTTGACTTCATAGTTTCTTTTTAAAATTATTTTAATATTAGAGTTTAACCAAGCAAATTCAAATGCAATCATTATTTTATAATACTAAAGAAAATATTTACTTAATAAATTCTACTTTATAATAATACACATACATAAGAAATAAATAACTTCTTATAAGAATAATACAATTAGTAAGTACAGTAGAAAAGAACAGCCAAGACTGTGGAGTTAACAAATTACAAAGCATGAGCTAGACCATCAAAGAAACAATGTAAATGCTTTTTTCTTATACTTAAGGATTTAATTCTGTTCACCTATTTCTGAATTTATTGTGGTTCAATCTCTTCTTCCAATCCATTTTTGGTTCTTTGTTCTTCCCTTTTTAGCTTTATCCCATAATCATATACTGGTATGCTTATAAAAACCTGTATTTGCCAATTTTATGTTTTTAAAAGTCTATCTGTAAGTTATGTTTATTTGACTTTAAATTGTTTTTATAAAAGTAAAACATAAATTGACAAGGAAAAAAGATTAACATGTATCTTTATGTCTTACTCTTCTGAATCCTCAGATTTTCCTTTGCCTTTTTTCTTCTGTGTTTTTACAGCTTTCCTTATTCTATCATTTGTAGGCTTGGTTTTCTGTATAATTTCATATAAGACAGAAATAAAGGGTTAAAAAACAATGAGTTATACGGAAATACACAATAATATACATTATTAATGTACATTTTACCCTGAGAGTCACTATACAAAGTTTCAAGAAAAATTACTTGCATAGAAGCAAAACAAAATGACACATTTGGTCTGTTTTTAACAGCGCTTTACTTAGTGTAAGTTGTATATAAGCTAATACATATTAAAACAGTTAAATTTTTCTGACAATTACAATCAGTTATGTTATCATGTGGCATATGCCTTCCTGAAAATCACCTCACTATGCAAAAATACGCAATAAAATCTGTAAGATGTATGGGGAAAATGGGTTAGGTACACATCTTGCAAAAACCTTGTCAGTGGTATATTTTTAAAAATAAAAACCTAAGAAAAACAGTCCTATAGTATACAGTTAAATGATTAAGAATACATAAATACCATGAGAAATAGAGACCTTTATCTTGAAAAAGACCTGAAACTTGTTTGTGAAAGTGAGCATAGAATAGAGGTTGCAACTTGTGAGTTATTGTGCAGTGGCAGAAAATTATCTGAAATTAAATAAAAAGTCATACCACCAGATGTGGGCTGGTGTGGCACACTATACACAAGTGAGCCAAGGTAGATGGAGAAAGTTGCTTTCTGCTTTCACTCATTGTTTTTGCAGATGAAACTGCTTATACAAATGAAATTCAAATTATGCTCAAATTGTTTGATTATGCTAAAACAAATTTGCATTTCAAAACAAATATTAGAGCAGAACTAATCACAGTGAACTGTGTAGTACAAGATCATTTTACACAAGAAAGTAGGGGAAAAATTAACAATTAGATTATTAAAAATTTTAGGATATTTGGACAAGATGGCAGACTAGAAGTATCTCATATGTGCCACTCTCACAGAGAGGAAACTAAAGGGGCTAGTGAATATTGACTCTGCAAGCCAATCATCTGAGAAACCACATTACGATCCATCAAGGCAGCAGGGTAACATAGAGAACAGAGAGGGTGAGGTGGGCACCAGCATGTCTGGGCTTACTGCAGAGCTAGAACCTTTCCAACATGATAAAGGGTGAGTAAGTGAGGTCCCCTAGGGGGATTCAGCTCTCCACAGGGGAATGTGTAAGACTTGGAATGAGAGAATCTTGTTTCTAGACTGAGGTAGGTGAATGGGAGAATCACATTTCTAGACTGAGGTAGGAGCCACTGGGACATTTTTTAAGGGCAACTCTTGAGTCCATGGGGACTTATACAAGCCTTGGGCCCAAGGGCAGACCAGCACCAGTACCATTGCTCCAGTAAAGACCATAATTGCAGTGCCTCGGAGCTGTAAGATTTATCCATGCCTTCTTGCCAGATGGGGCTTAAGGCCAACCAAACTTGACTGGCCATGCCACCCAACCCCACCACTGGTATCCAGCTGGGCAAGGCTTGCTAGAGTTTCCAGCCCATCAGTCCTGCTTTGGTGTGAACTCAGCTGGAGGGCGCAGCTCCCTGTTTTCCCAAGAAACACCGAAAGGGCTCAGCAGGTGACCCCACCCATCCCTGCCATTGATACCCAGATGGGCAATACCTCCTAGAACTTCCAGCCCAGTGGCCATGCTACTATGTAAACTCAGCTAGAGGGTGCACCTTCCTGTTGTCCCAGGAACCAGCTAGCCTATAGAGCAGGCATCCCCATCCTCCCCCACTGCTGGTAGCCAGGAGAGCCATGCCTGCTAGACCATCTAGCTCAGTGATCTTACTTCTGCCTGAATTTGCCTCCTGCTGCCCTGGAAACACCCAGAAGGCAGGGTAGGTAACTCTATTAACCCCCCTAGCTCTCTAAAATAAATCAGACAAAAATAAAGAAAAAAGAATGTTAAAAACTCTGAGAAATTTGGGGTTATGTAGAGGTCAAATCTTTGACTTATTAGCATTCCTGTAAGATATAGGGGAAAAGCAGACAACCTAGAAAACATATTTTACTGGATCATCAATGAAAACTTACCCAACCTCGCTAGACAGGACTTTCAAATCCAGGAAATACACAGAACCCCTGAAAGGTATTAACAAGAAGATAATTTCCAAGACACGTAATTATCAGATTTTCAAAGGTCAACATGAAAGAAAAAATGATAAAGGCAACGAGAGAGAATGTGCAGGCCACTTACAAAAAGAACCCCACCCATCAGGCTAAATAAAAGTAGACCTTTCAGCAGAAATCCTGCAATCCAGAAGAGACTGGGGGCCTATATTCAGCCTCTCTAAGGAAAAAAATTTCCAGCCAAGAATTTTATATCCAGCCAAACTAAGCATCATAAGTGGAAGAGAAATAAGATCCTTTTCAGGCAATCAAATGCTAACAACATGATAGTAGGATCAAACCCACACATATCAATATTAACACAAAATGTAAATGCACTAAATGCCCCAATTAAAAGGTGCAGAGTGGCAAGCTGGAAAAAGAAGCAAGAGCCAATGGAAAGCTATCTTCAAGAGACCCATCTCACAGGCAATGAAATCCACAGGCTCAAAATAAAAAGAGAGAGAAAAATCAACCATGCAAAAGGAAAACAGGAAAAAGCAGAAGTTGCAAACCTAATTTCAGGCAAAATGGACTTTAAGCGAATAAATGTTTTAAAAATGTAAAGATGGGCAGTACATATTGGTAAAGGGTTCAATTCAGCAAGAAGACTTAACTATTCTAAATATATATACACTCAACATAGGAACACCGAGATTCATAAAGCAAGTTCTTATAGACCTACAAAGAGACTTAGACCCAAACACAATAATAGTGGGAGACTTGTGTTAGACAGAAGTCCCCACTGACAATATTAGACAGACCACTGAGGCAGAAAATAAACAGAGATATTCAGCACCCAAACTCAACACTTGACCAATGGACAAATAGACACTATACAAGTCTCCACCCAAAAACAACACAATATACATTCTTCTCATCACAACATAGCACATACTTTGAAAAATCTAATAGGCCATAAAATAATCCTTAGCAAATTAAAAAACAAAATCATACCAACCACATTCAGACTACAGCAAAATAAAAATAGAAATCAAGACTAAGAAAATCACATGGAAATTAAACAATCTGCTCCTGAATGACATTTGGGTAAACAATGAAATCAAAGCAGCAATTAGGAAGTTATTTGATGAGAATAAAGACACAACATACCAGAATCTCTGGGACACAACTTAGGCAATGTTAAGAGGGAAGCTTATAACACTAAATATCCAACACAAAAAAGTTAGAAAGATCTAAAATTAACAACTTAATGTCACAACTAGAAGAAGGACAGAAGAATAAACCAACCCCAAGGCAAGCAAAAAGCAAGAAGTAACCAAATTAGAACTGAACTGAAGAAACTGAGATACAAAAAAAAAAAAAAAAAAAAAAAAAAAAAAAAAAAAAAAAAAAAAAAAAAAAAAAAAAAAAAAAAAAATACACAAGATAAATGAACCCAGGAATTGGTTTTATTAAAAAAAAATTAATAAGATAGAGCACTAGCTAGACAAATAAAGAAAAACAGAGAGAAAATCCTGATAAACACAATTAGAGATGACAAATCAGATATTACCACTGACCCTACAGAAATACAAATAACCATCAGAAACTACTATGATTGCCTCTATGCACACAAACTAGAAAATCTATACTAGAAATGAATACATTAAACTAGAAATGGACAAATTCCTGGACACATACAACCACCCAAAAATGGTCCAGGAATAAACTGAATCCTGGAGCAGATCCATAATGATTTCCAAAATTGAATTAATAACAAAAAGCCTACCAACCAAAAAAGTCCAGGACCAGACTCACAACCAAATTCTACCAGATACATAAAGAAGCACTGGTGCTATTCCTACTAAGATGATCTTTTAAAACTGAGGAGTAGGGACTCCTCCCCAACTCATTTCATGAGGCCAGCATCATCCTGATACCAAAACTTGGCAGAGACACAACAAATAAAGAAAACGTCAGGCCAATATCTTCATGAACATAGCTGCAAAAATCTCCTTAACAAAATATTAGCAAACCACATCCAGTAGCACATCAAAAATCTAATCCACCATGATCAAATACGCTTTGTCTCTGGGATGTAAAGTTGATTCAGCATATGCAAATCAATAAATGTGATTCACCAAAGAAACAAAACTGAAAACAAAAACCATGTTATCTCAATAGAGGCAGAAAAGACTTTCAATAAAATCCAACATCTCTACATGTTAAAAACCTTCAATAAACTAGGCATTGAAAGAACAGGCATCAAAATAATACAAGCTATCTATGACAAAACCAGAACCAACATCATATTGAATAGGCAAAGCTGAAAGCATTTCCCTTGAAAACCAGCATAAGACAATGACTCCTTCCGTCACCATTTCTATCCAACACAGTATTGGAAGTCCTGGCAAGAACAATCAGGCAAGGGAAAGCAATAAAGGTATCCAGATAGGAAGAGAGAAAGTGAAACTACCCCTGTTTGGCAGTATGATTCTATATCTAAAAAACTCTGTAGTCTTGGCCTAAAATCTCCTTCAGCTGATGAACAACTTCAGCAAAATTTCAGGGTACAAAATCAATATACAAAATTAGTAGCACTCCTATACAATAACATCCAAGCCAAAAGCCAAATCAGTAATGCAATCCCATTCTCAATTGCCACAAAAAGAATAAAATGCCTAAGAATATAGCTAACTAGGAGGTGAAAAATCTCCACAATGAGAATTTTAAAACACTGCTCAAAGCGATCAGATGACACAAATGAGAAAACATTCCATGCTCATAGATAGGGGAATCAATATTGTTAAAATGGTCATACTTCCCAAGGCAATTTACAGATTCAATGCTATTCCTATCAAACTACCAATGTCATTCCTCACATAAATAGAAAAAGCTATTCTGAAATTCATAAGGAACGAAAAGCATTGGAATAGCCAAGGCCATCCTAAGCAAAAAGAATAAAGCTAGAGGCATCACATTACCCAACTTCAAACTATACTACAGGGCTGCAGTAACCAAAACAGCATAGTACTGATACACAAACAGATACCTAGGCCAATGGAACAGAATAGAGAACACAGAAATAAGGCTGAACACCTACAACCATCTGATCTTCAACAAACCTGACAAAAATAAGAAATGAAGAAAGGACTCCCCATTCAATAAATCAGGCTGGGATAACTGGCCAGCAATATGCAGAAGATAGAAACTGTACCCCTACCTTATACCACAATCAAAAATCAGCTCAAAATGGATTAAAGACTTAAATGCAAACCCAAAACTATAAAAACTCTGGAAGATAACCTAGGAAATACCATTCTGGACACAGGACTTCGCAAAGATTTCATGATAAAGATGCTGAAAGGCATTTCAACAAAAACAAAAATTAACAAATGAGATCTAAACTAAAGAGCTTCTGTATATCTAAAGAAACTATCAACAGAGTAAACAGGCAACCTAAAGATTAGGAGAAAATATTTGCAAACCATGCATCTGACAAAGGTGTTATATCCAGAATTTATAATGAACTTAAATTTACAAGGAAAAAAAGACTCCATTAAAAGGGAGACAAAGAGGACTGCAGGGAAGTTCACATCGCAGCTGGGTGGAGCCCACAGCAGCTCAGCAAAGCCTCTGCAGGCAGACTGTGACTAGGCTACCTCCTCACTGGGCAGGGAAGCCATGAAAAAAGGCAGCAGCATGACAGAAACTTACAAATAAAGCCTTACCTTCCCGGGACAGAGCCCCTGGGAAAAAAGAAAAAGTGTTTATGAGTTCTGCTGCAGCAGACTTAAACGTACCTGCCCGGCAGCTCTGAATGAACAATGGAGCTCACAACTCAGCACTTGAGCTCCTATAAAGGACAGACTGTCTCCTCAAGCAGCTCTCTGACCCCCTGTATATCCAAAGAGTCACCTCATAAAGGAGAGCTCAGACTGACATCTGGCAGGTATCCTTCTGGGACAAAGATAGCAGAAGAAACTGGCAGCAACCCTTACTGTTCTGCAGCCACTGCAGGTGGTCCCCAGGCAAGCAGGGCCTGGAGTGGACCTCCAGCAGTCCTACAGCAGAGGAGCCTGACTGTTAGAAGGAAAACTAAGAAACAGAAAGAAATAACTTCATCATCAACAAACTGGACATCCACTTAGAGACCCAATCTGAAAGTCACCAACTACAAAGACCACAGGTAAATAAATCCACACAGATGGGAAGAAACAAGTGCAAAAAGGATGAAAACAACTAAAACCAGAAGGCCTCTCCTCCTATAAGGGATCACAACTCCTCACCAGCAAGGGAACACAGCTGGATGGAGAATGAGTGTGATGAATTGACAGAAACAGGTTTCAGAAGGCGGGTAATAAGAAACTTCTCTGAGCTAAAAGAACATGTTCTAACCCAGTGCAAAGAAACTAAGAACCTTGAAAAAACTTTTGATGAAATGCTAATGAGAATAAACAGCTTAGAGAGGAATATAAATGAATTGATGGGGCTGAAAAACACAACAGGAGAACTTCGTGAAGCATACACAAGTTTCAATAGCCAAATTGACCAAGTAGAAGAAAAGATATCAGAGGTTGAAGATCAACTCAATGAGATAAAATGAAAATGCAAGATTAGAGAAAAAATGGTAAAAAGAAATGAACATTGTGTCCAAGAAATATGGTACTATGTGAAAAGACCTAATCTACATTTAATAGGTGTACCTGAATGTGACGGAGAGAATGAATCCAAGCTGGAAAATACACTTCAGGATATTATGCAGGAAAACTGCCCCAACCTAGCAAGGCAGGCCAATATTCAAGTCCAGGAAATACACAGAGCACCACAAAGATATTCCTCAAGAAGAGCAACCCCAAGGCACATAATCGTCAGATTCACCAGGGTTGAAATAAAGGAGAAAATGCTAAGGGCAGCCAGAGAGAAAGGTTGGGTTACCCACAAGGGAAGCCCATCAGACACAGCAGATCTCTCAGCAGAAACCCTACAAGCCAGAAGAGATTGGGGGCCACTATTCAACATCCTTAAAGAAAAGAACTTTCAAGCCAGAATTTCATGTCCAGCCAAACCAAGCTTCATAAGCGAAAGAGAAATAAAATCCTTTACGAACAAGCAATTACTCAGAGATTTCATCACCACCAGACCTGCTTTACAAGAGCTCCTGAAAGAAGCACTAAACATAGAAAGGAACAACCAGTACCAGCCACTCCAAAAACATACCAAATGGTAAAGAGCATTGACACAATAAAGAAACTGCATCAACTAACAGGCGAAACAGCCAGCTAGCATCAAAATGGCAGGATCAAATTCACACATAACAATATTAACCCTAAATGTAAATGGGCTAAATGCCCCAATCAAAAGACACAGACTGGCAAATTGGATAAAAAGCCAAAACCCATCGGTGTGCTGTATCCAGGAAACCCATCTCACATGCAAGGATATACATAGGCTCAAAATAAAGGGATGGAGGAAGATTTACCAAGCATATATCAGTTTGGGGTTGCTCATAAAACTCAAAATAGAGCTACCACACAATCCAGCAATCCTATTGATATGTATATATACAACCCCCTCCAAAAAAAGGAAATCATCATATCTCAGATGTCTGCACTCCCATGTTTGTTGCAGGTCTGTTTTCAGTAGCCAAGATATGGAAGCAACCTCTGTGTCCATCAACATATGACTGGAAAAAGCAAATGTGATACTTATACAAAATGGAGTATTAGTTGTAAAAAATGAGATTATGTCATTTGCTACAACGTGGATGGACCTGGAAGTCATTATGTTTAATGAAATAGGCCAGGCATAGAAAGACACACATTGCATATTTTCACTTATTAGTGGGGGCTAAAAATCAAAACAATTGAACTCATGGAGATAGAGAAAAAAAGGATGGTTACCAAAGGCTGGAAGGGTGAGCAGGAGGTAGGGATGGTTAATTGGGTATAAAAAATATATTAAAGCTTAAAAGAATGAATAAGAACTAGTATTTGATAGCATAACAGGGGGACTATAGTCAATAGTGATTTAATTGTACAATTAAGAATAACTGAAAATGTGCCTCATATACACCATGGAATACTATGCAGCCATAAAAAAAGTGATGAGTTTGTGTCCTTCATAGGGGCATGGATAAATCTGGAAACCATCAATCTCAGCAAACTGACACAAGAACAGAAAGCCAAACATTGCATGTTATCACTCATAGGCAGGTATTGAACAATTAGAACATGTGGACACAGGGAGGGGTGCATCACATACTGTGGTCAGTTGCAGGGGGCTAGGGGAGGGACAGTGGGGAGTGGGGAGGGATAATGAGCGGAGAAATACCAGATATAGGTGATGAGGGGATGAAGGCAGCAAACCACCTTGCCATGTGTGTACCTATGCAACAATCCCACATGATCTGCACATGTACCCCGGAACCTAAAGTACAATAAAAAAAATTTTTTTTAAAAAAAATAACTAAAAGAGTATAACTGGATTATTTGCAACACAAAGGATACGTGCTTAACTCAATGGATACCCAATTTTCCATGACGTGATTATTTTGCATTGTATGCCTGTGCCAAAATATCTCATGTTTCCCATAAATATATATACTTACTATGTACCCACAAAAATTAAAAAAAAAAAATTTAAATGTTTTAAAGAATGGCTAAGAGTATAACCTACCAAATGAGCACCAAAGTTTCTATGCATTAAACAAGAAAATCTTGTTGTATCCTAGATCATATATGGAAATTCGTGCAAAACCATTGCTCTCTAGAGCAGAATTAGAGACAGAATATTTAAAGAAACAACACAAGAAAGCAACACCAGAAACTGCTGCAACATCCTCAATTCATCTAAGAAGCTCCAGAGTTTTTTCAATGTGGCTCTAACAGTGTGTCATTAGAATGCTGCAAAATTCTCACACTTGGTCAGACTACTCAGTTCTTCAACATGACAATTTACTATTTTTAGGATTTTTTTATACCAATGTTCTACTCCTACTTGGCATGATACCTAAAGGGAACTGTTCCTAAACTGAACATATATGACAACCTGATCTTATATTTGACACCTGTGTAAGATTACTACTTCTCTGACTGATCAAACAGCAAATCTCCTATATGATTTCTGCTTCCTCTTCTAGTAAGAAACCAACATTATTGAATTTAGGATTTTTCCTCAACAATATATCTTAAGTTTTTAAGTGGTTAATAAAAATTCACTTCCAATGTATTTGACTTTATTCTCTACAGTTTGAATTTGCAAGCTGTCTAACAATGGCAAGAAGAATGATAAAATACAAAAGGAAACAAATTTTCCTTTTTCCTTGGCATTTCTATTTCTATTGACTCACCTTGGTATAATGAACTGGGATACACACATCACATAATTATAGAGAATACCATGAATGCATTTACAATATATTTGAAAACTAATTTATGCTAGTTTAATAAAGTCAAATATTTGGCCTAGAAATGTATTTTCAGATGTTTAAATTCTGTTTTTCATGGAATCCTTTTGGTTTTGACATCTAAAATGATAATTTAGAATATGGCATAATTTTATTTATTAAAGTACAGCTGCTACAAATTATTAATATTAAAAACATATTTAAATATCTCTTTGATTTCCATCCTAAAATAATAAGCCTTGTTAGGTGTATGCCATTTTTAAACACGAAAATTTTACCAACCTCTGTGTCCTTCAACTTTTGTAGTTCATTTTCCAGCACCAACTTCTCTTCTAATAACAACTTAAAATCACATTGCATCTGTTTGTATTCCTAAAAACAAATAATTTTAGTAATAATGAAGAGTAAAACTCTCAATATTAAAAGATTATTTAGATAATTATTAAGGTAAGAAAGTCTTCATTAACTCATGACAATAACAAAACATTGGTATTAGTCTGTACAGTGAAACAATAATTGAAGCTGAAAGACATAAAGATCTATAAGTGTCAAGGACCAGAACTATTCAGATGACTGTAGGATATTATAGTGTAGTATTTCAGAAGTGAAGTATTTCTGAGTGATGAGAGTAAAATGAGCAAAACAGACAAGACTTTCCAGTTCACATACGCATAGAAATTTCTTAAATAAACGACATAGGCATTGGAACTTTATATAGGATTATGTATCCTGACAATTTCAAGAGTCTGTTAAGAACTCAAGGACAAAGCATAATTTCAAACTGAGAGAACTATACTTACAGCATCTAACAAAACTTGATCATTTACAGCTCTGAAAAATAAACCAAAAAATTTATGTGATTAATCATACATTTATATTTTAATTTACGTAATACATTTATACATTTTCTTTGTAAATATTTTAATACAAATGAAGTTTAAAGGACACTTTGATTACCACTCCAAAAAATTTAATGCTCTCCTTAGAAATATTATTGGATCACTGTTACCTTTCCAGGACTTGTTCTACGCATTTACACAACATGGCATGTACCTTTTCCATTCTGTAATTTTTATTAGTGGGATGGATTTCAGTTTTCTTTTTCACATAAATGACATCACTGTATATATTGTTCTCAACTTACTTTTTTACTTAACATCATGTCTGAGATTTCTTCATATCCATAAACATACATCGTTCTCAGTCCTTTTAAGTGCTAATTATTATTCCATAGCAGGAGTTGGCAAACATTTTTTGTAAAGAACAAGACAGTAGATATTTTAGATTCTGCAAGCCTCATGGTCTCTATCACTATTACTCAATGAGTGTGGCTGTATTTCAATTACACTTTATTTATAAAAAATAAATTGCAGGTTAGGTTTAACATTGTTCATAGTGTGCTGACACAGTTTGGTGACATTGTTCCATAGTATGGATAAACCATAGATTATTTTTGGCAAAATAATCTGTGGTTATTTGGGCCACAGTTTGCTAACATTGTTCCATAGTATAGATAAACCATAGATTATTTTTGACAAGGGTTATTCATTTAATAAATCAGAATTTATAACAGCTTTATTAAGGTATAATTAATATGTCACACAATGCACATTTTAAAGTATACAATTCAATGTTTTTTAGTATATTCACCAATGTAAGCAACTGTCAACACTATCTAATTTTACAACATTTTATTTACCCCACAAAGAGGGACCCCAGATCCATTAGTAGTCGCTCCCGATTTCTCTTTGCAAATGCCCAGCCAGTAATCTACTTTCTCTAGATTTGCCTATTCTGGATATTTGATATAAATAGAAGCATATAGTATGTGGTCTTTAGAGACTGGCTTCTTACACTTAGCAATATATTTTCAAGGTTCTTCCCTATTGTAGCATGTTACTACTTTGTTCCTTTTTACTGCCAAATAACATTCCATTATATGGATATGCCACATTTTATCCATCACTTTATGGACATTTTATTTGTTTCCACTTTTCTGCCATTGTGAATAATGCTATTACGAACATTTATTACAAGTTTTGGTATGAACATATGTTTTCATTTATCTCATGTATAAACCTAGAAACAGAATTTCTGAATCATATGCAGAGTCTCTACTTAATTTTTTGAGGAACTGAGAAAGTGTTTTCCAAAGCAGATACACAATTTAAGTTCTCATAAGTAATATATGAGGGTCCCAATTTCTCTGCCTACTTGCCAACAAATCCTTGCCTTGTCTGTTTGATTGTAGCCATCCTAGTGGGTGCAAAGTGGCCTAGTGGGTGCAAAGTGGTATATCATTGTAGTTTTGATTTGCAATTAAAACTAGTGATGGCCAGGCCCAGTGGCTCATGCCTGTAAGCCCAGCACTTTGGGAGACTGAGGTGGGAGGATCACCTGAGGTCAGGAGTTTGAGACCAGCAGGACCAACATGGTGAAACCCCATCTCTACTAAGAATACAAAAATTAGTCAGGCGTGGTGGCAGGTGCCTGTAGTCCATTACTTGGGAAGCTGATGCACAAGAATTACTTGAACTCAGGAGGCAGACGTTGCAGTGAGCTGAGATCACATCACTACACTCCAGCCTGGATAACAGAGCAAGACTCTGTCTTAAAAAACAAACAACAAGAAAAACTAGTAACTAACAACGTTAAGTATCTTTTCATGTGCTTATTGAGCATTTCTATACCTCCTTTGGGATAATATCTATTCAGATCCTTTGCCTATTTTTAATTGAATTATTTACCTTTTTATTATTGAGATATAAGAGCTCTTTATATATTCTGTGAAGTACCTTAGCAGATATATGATTTGTAAATATTTTTCACATTCCATTAGTAGTTTTTTTCATGTTTTTTGATAGCCTTACTTGCAGCACAAAAGTTTGTAATTTTGATAAAGTTTATCTACTTTTTTCTTTTGTTGATTGTACTTCCAATGTCATATCTAAGAAAACTACCTAACCCAATGTCACAAAAATTTACTCCTATGTTTCTTCTAAAATGCCTATAGTTTTAGCTCTTCAATTTAGGTGTTAGACAATTTCGACAACTTTAGTGCATGGCAAAAATAAACAATCCAGCTTTATTCTTTTGCATGTGGATAACCCACTTGCCCAAGTACCATTTATTAAAAAGACTCTTCTTTCCCCCATTGAATCATCTTACCTTAAAACTCAATTGTTTATAAATGTAAGGGTTTATTTGTGGACTTTCAATTCTATTCCATTGTTCTATATGTCTAACCTTATGCCAGTAATACATTCACTTGATAACTGTAGCGTTCTATTAAGTTTTAAAATCAGTTAAGTGTGAGTCTTCTAACTTTGTTCTTAAGGTTGCTTTGGCTGTTCTAGCTTCCTTGTACTTCCACATGAGTTTTAGAATCAGCTTTTCAATTCTTACAAAATGTCAGCTGGAATTCTGGTAGTAATTACAGCAAATCTGTAGGACAATTTGGGAAGTACTGCTACCTTAAAATTATTAAATCCAGGTGTGGTGGCTCACACCTGTAATTGCAGGACTTTGGGAGGCCAGGGCAGGAGAACACTTGAAGCCAGGAGTTCAAGACCAGCCTAGGCAACATAGCAAGACCCTGTCCCTACAAAAAAAAATTTTTTTTTTAATTGCCAGGCATGGTGGTACATGCCTGTAGTCCTAGCTGCTTAGAAGGCTGAGGTAGGAAGATGCCTTGGGCCTAGGAGTTAGCAGCTAAATGGGCTACGATCACATCACTGCACTTCAGCCTGGGTGACAGAGTGAGACCTTAATAGCTCTAAAAAATAAAAAATATTAAGTTTAACTGTCTATGAATATGAGATATCTATCCATTTATTTAGGTGTTCTTTAAGTTCTTTCAATGACGTTTTGTAGTTTCAATGCCCAATTCTCGCATTTCTTTTTTTAAGTTCAGTCACAATCTCTTTGATGCTATTATAAATGGAATTGTTTTCTTTATTTCACTTTTGAAATGCTCATTGCTAGTGTGTTTGTTTCCTAGAGCTGTAGTAATAAAGTACCAAAATATGGGGGATTTAAGACAACAAGAATTTATTTTCTCACAGCCTGGAGACTTGAAATACAAAATTAAAGTGTTGGCACAGCACGTTCCCTCTGAAACATCTAGGAAAGGAATCTACCATGCCTACTCTAATCACTGGTAGTCCCTGGCATTCTTTGGATTGAAGCAGAATAAATTCAATCTCTGCCTCCATCTTTATATAAGCAGTCTTTCTTCCATGTTTATCTGTCTTCTCCAATTCCTATAAGGACATTAGTCACACTGGATTAAGGGCCCATCCTACCCCAGTATGATCTCATCTCAACTAATGATATCAGCAATAACCCTGTTTCCAAATAAGGTCACCCTGAGGTAGCACGGGGTGAGAACTTCAACATATCTTTTGAGCGGATACAATTCAACCCATAACAGCTAGTGTATAGAAATTCATTCGTTTTTGTTTCTTGATCTTGTATATTGCAGCCTTGATGAATTCATTCATTACTTCCAATAGGTTTTAGAAGAACTCAGGATGTTTTTATATCTAAAATTATGTCATTTGCAAATAGAGGTAGTTTTACTTCTTCCTCACCAATGCAGACACTGTTTTTTTCCTTTTCTTCCATAACTGCCCTTGCAAGAACCTCCACTATAATGATGAATAGAAGTGAATGCCTTGACTTGTTCCTGAGCATAGGGAAAAATTATACATTCTTCACCATTGAGTATGATATTGACTATGGGTTTTGTAAATGGCCTTCATCAGGTTTAGGAAGTTTCTTTCTATTCTTAGTTTATGGAATTCCTAGTACCATGAAAAGATGCATTTACTGAATTTTGTCAAGTGTATTTACTGAATCTAGTGGGCTGTGATTTTTTTCTTTTATTCAATCAATAATATACATTATATAAATTGATACCTGCATTTTAAATCAACCTTGCATTTCTGAAATAAATCCCACATGTTCATTATATATAACCTTTTTTATATGTTGTTGGATTCAATTTGCTGGTATTTTGGTGAGGATTTTTGTATTCACATTCGTAACACATATTTATCTGTAGACTTATTTTCTTGTGATTGTCTAATTTTGGTATCAGAGTAACACTAATCTCATAGAATGAATTGAGAAGTGTGAAATCTTCTATTTTTTTGAAGAGTTTGTAAAGGGCTAGTATTAACTCTTCTTTAAATATTTGATAGAATTAAAAAGTGAAGTCATCTGACCTAAGCGTTTTTTAATGGGAAATAGGTTAATTACTAATCAAATCTTTTCACTACTTATTAAGTCCAGTCTTATGTTCTTGTTCTTCTTGATTCAGTTTAGTTTTGGTCTTTCTAGAAATATATATCATCTAAGTTATCTAATTTGTTGTCATATAGTTATTCATAGTATTCCCTTATCAATCATTTACCATAGATTATTGAGCCATACTCCCACTAACAAAAACAGGTTCTTTCTAGTTCTGCTACTATCACACTGATGCAAAATAAAAATCTTTTTATATGCTTTCTTGAGCATATTGTACTTCTTTCTCTAAGGCAGATAAAAAGAGATTTGCTATATAATATGGCATACACCTTTGTTATGGCTAAACTGTGCTAAATTGTCCTTGAAAGTGGGAAATTTCTATTTCACTAGCATTCATACTATTGATTCCACCAGCAAAAGCAGTTCTAAGTGGGAAGTTTATAGCAATAGATGTCTACTTTTAAAAAAAAAAAAAAGAATGATCACAAATAAATAACATAATGTGATATATCAAAGAGCCAGAAAAATAACAAAGTAAGCCAATAGTTTAATAGAAAGCAGAAAATTACAAAGAGAAGAGCAGAAATAAATCATATAGAGACTAGAAATACAATAGAAAAGGTTAACAAAACTAAGAGTTTTCTGAAAAGATAAAAATCAGCATATGTTAAGCTGGACTAAGAAGAAAGAGAGAGAAGGCCCAAATAACCTCAGAAAAGAAAAATTAGACATTATAACTGATACCATAGAAATAAAAAGATAATAAGAAACTACCACACAAAATTACATTCCAACAAACTGGACAACCTAGAAGAAAATGAGTAAATTCCTAGACCTACCAACAACCCTAGGTTGTAAATCCCTACACCCTACCAAGACTGAAGAAACAGAAAATCTGAAGAGACCAATAATGACCAAGGAGAGTCAATCAGTAATAAAAAAAAAATCTATCAAAGAAAAGCCCAAGACCTCATGGCTTCATGGCTGACTTCTATCAAATATTTAAAGAAGAACTAATACAATCCTCAAACTCTTCCAAAATCTTGAAGAGGAAGAAATACTTCCAAACTATTTTACAAGTCAGCATCAATCACCCTGATAACAATGTCAGACATGAACATCAAAGAAAATTACAGGCCAATATCCCTGATAAATATAGGTATAAAAATCTTCAACCCAATACTAGCAAAACAAATTTCACAGTACATTAAAAGGATCATTCACCATGATCAAGTCAAATTTATCCCTGGAGTGCAAGGATGATGCAGCAAACCAATAAATTTCATGCATCATAGTAGCAGAATGAAAGACAAAACCATATGATCATCTCATAAGATGCAGACAAAGCATCTGACAAAATTCAACATCCTTTCATAATAAAGCCCATCAATAAATAGGTATAGAAGGAATGTACCTTAATATAATAAAACCCATATATCATCACCCCATACCTAACATTATTATACTCAATGGTGAAAAGCTTAAAGCTTTTCCTCTAAGATTAAAAACAAGGATACCCACTCTCCCCACTTCTATTCAATATAGCACTAGAAATCCAAGCCAGGGCAATTAGTCAAGAAAAAATAAAAGTATCAAAATAGAAAAAGAAGAAGTAAAATCATATTTGTTTCCAGATGATGTACTCTCACATATAGAAAGCTCTAAGGATGCCCCCCAAAAACTTGCAGAACAAATGAATTCAGTATGGTTGCAGGATACAAAAACCAATATACAAAAATCAGTTGTGTTTCTATAAACTAACAACAAATTATCTAGAAAAGAAATCAAGAAAACAATTCCATTTATAATAGCATGAAAAGAAATAAAATACTTGGGAATACACTTAACCAAAGAAGGAAGAGATCTGTTACACTGAAAACTGTTAAGATGTTGATGAAATAAATTGAAGAACACACAAAGAAATGGAGAGAATTGAATTCAAACAATATTGTTAAAATGTTCATGCTACCCAAAATAACCTACAAGTTTAATGTAATCCCTATGAAAATTCCAATGATATTTTTCACAGAAATAAAAATAGATTCTAAAATTCATATTGGACCACAAAAGACCCTGAGTAGTCAAAGCAATCGTGAGCAAAAAGGAACAAAGGTGGAGGCATCACTTTATCACAAAATCTACTACACAAAGCTACAGTAATCAAAACTGCATGACCCTTGCATCAGAACAGAATAGAGATCTCAGAAATAAATTCACATATATGGCCAACTGATCTTTAACAAATGTACAAAAACACACAATTAAGAAAAGAATATCTCTTCAATAAATGATGGAGAGGCTGCAGAAGAAAGAAATTGGGTCCTTATCTCACCCCATATATAAAAATAGACTCAAAATGGATTAGAAACTTAAATGTAAGACCTGAAACTGTAAAATTACTTAACAAAAACATAGGGGGAAACTTCTTGATATTGGTCCTGGAAAATACTTTTTGGATATGGCCCCAAAAGCACAGGTAACAAAAGCAAAAATGGACAAATAGGACTGCATCAAGCTAAATAGTTTCTGCACAGCAAAGGAAACAATCAATGGAATGAAGATGCAACCTATGGAATGGGAGAAAATATCTGCAAACCATACATCTGAGAAGAATTTAATATCCAAGATATAAAAGAAACTCAACTGCAAGAAAACAAATAACCCCATTTAAAAATGAGCAAATGGCTTGATATTTCTCAAAAATAGACATATACATGGTCAACAGCTATATGAAAAAAATGTTCAACATCACTAATCATCAAGGAAAAGCAAGTTTAAACCACCATGTAATATTACCTCACATCTGTTATCAAAAAACAAATGGCTATTTATACACATACTGGCAATAATGTGGAAAAAAGGGAACTCTTACACGCCGTTAGTGAGAATGTAAATTAGTACAACTTTATGGAAAACGATATGGAGATTCTTCAAAAAAATAAAAATATACTACCATGTGACCAAGTAATTCCACTTCTGGGTATACATCTAAAGGAAATAAATGTAAAAATAAAGAACATGTGGAAGATATATATATATATATATATATACATATATATATATATACACATATATATATATATATATACATATATATATATATGAACACACACATATATATACATATACATTTATATATGTAAAATATTATTCAGCCTTAAAAAAGAAGGAAATACTGTCATCTGCAACAACATGGACAAACCTGAAGGGCATAATGCCAAGAAGTCAGGTACAGAAAGACAATTACTGCATGATCTCACTTATATGTAGAACCCCAAAAAGTCAAACTCATGGAAATAGAAAACAGAATACTGGGTACCAGAGGCTGTGGTTGGTGAAAATGGGGAGGTGTTGGTCAAAGGGTATAAAATTTCAGCTAGACGGGGAAAATTTCTAGCAGAGTAATTTTAAAGTGTTCTTACCAGAAAAAAGAAAGGTATGTATGTGAGGATATTGGGTCTGTTACATAGCTTGATTTAGCCATTCCACAATGCATGCATATATCAAAACACATTTTATACCATAAATTTTCTCAATAAAAAATAAAACATTTATTTTAAAAAGCAATTATTTGAGTTTACAGGTGAAAAAAAAATATTCACAAACTACATTTTGTATCATTGTAACTTTTAATTTTTTAACTATGGAAAAATACATACAATATAAAATTTACCATCTTAACCATTTTAAGTGTATAGTTCAGCAGTGTTAGATACCTTTACATTATTTTATAACCAATCTCCAGAACTCTTCTCATCATGTAAAATGGAAGCTTTGTGTGTATCAAACAATAACTCCCCATTTCCCCCCTCCTAAACCCCCAGCAACCAACCATCATTCTATCATCTATGTCTATGAATTTAACACTACTCTAGATACCTCATGGAAGGGGAATAATTGCATATGTCTTTTTGTGACTGGCTTATTACACTTAGAAGAATGTCCTCAGGGTTCATTCATGTTGTAGCATGTATCAGAATTTCCTTTCTTGTTAAGACTCAATAATAATTTCATTGTATGTCTATACCACATTTTGTTTATCAATTTATTCATTGTTGCATAAGTGGGTGGCTTCCATCTTTTGGCTGTTGTGAATGATGCTGCAAAGAATGGGTGTCAAATATCCCTTCAACACTCTGCTTTCAATGTGGGGGTATATATACCCAGAAGTGGAATTGCTGGATCATATGGTAATTCTGTTTTTAATTTTTCAGGAACCAACATACTGTTTTTTGTAGCATATATTTTACATTTCATTTTACATTCTCTATGTTTATAATTTTCAATGTAAAAATTATACATATATAAAATCACAAAAATTGATACAAGAAATTCTAAATTTGTTGACAGCATTGTTATTTTATGCTTCAATATTTCTGCAATAAATATGTACTAACTTTCATAAACATGTTATATATGGAAAAATACAATTTTATCTGTTATTTTAAATAGAAAAATAATAAAATACAAAAAACAGCTTACCTCTCCAACTTATTTGCCTGGTTTTCAAATACTTTCAACACGGCATTAAATCGAGTAGTCATTGAACGATCAGTTTCTATTATTTAAAGAAATCAAAAATGTTAAAGGTTTTATAAATGGCTGGAATTATAGCTCTATGCTAAATATAACTGCTATAGATACGAAAGTTAAACAAACATAGAGAGGGGCTATCAGGGCTACATGAGTATTAACAGAATGCTTATGAGGAAAATAGCTACCATTTTATTAAATACCTATTATGTGCAAATCACCATGGTATATTGCATTCTCTTATTCTCAAAATAATCTAAAAGATAAGATACTGTCATAATTTTCAAATACAAAAGTTCAGGCTCAGAGAGGTTACATAACTTAATCAATACTATATATATAGTAAAACATAAAACTGAATTAATGTCCAATATATGTGACCTTCTAATGATACAGCATATCAGAGGAACTCTAGATGCTAAGAGAGAAATGCTTTAGTTGCTGTTGCTAAGTCACTAAGGTTTATGGGAAGGATCTAGCTAACCTACTAAGTTTTACAATTGCATCAAAGAACCCAAAAGAGAACCTAAGATGCTACTTAAAAGAGAACCAACATAATAAGGATCCATAATAATCAATGAACTATTAGGATAATACCACAAGACTCCTAAATCTTACAACATAAAAAGCATATGATAGAAGACAGTCCCTGCATTAAGCTTTCTGTCAGAAAAACAAGATATGAAACAAAGAAAATGTTTAAAAACACAATAGCATACAACAGTTCCTAAATATTCACTGTATTTTTTCTATTTCACGTCAAAAGTGGCATAGAATAATAAATATTTAGGAGTTGAGAAGAGAAAGTAGAAAGACATAAAGAAGCTAAGTCTTAAAGAACGGATAGAGCGTCATTAAAAAGAAAAAATAAAAAGTAAACACCTTAAGCAAAGGCAAGAAAAGTAGAAATGTGTAAAATATATCCAGGGCACCAAATATATCAAGTATAACCAAGAAACCAAGTCAAACAGAGGCTTTACTTTGAGAGAGTCAATATTCCTCAAAGATTCCAATAGGATATTGGAAGAAGCCAGTTTCATAAGAATTAAATTTATAATTTTTTGTAGGTAGGGGAGAGTAATTTAAAATGCTTACATAAAAAGTCATAGTTAATAATTAAACAATAATTTAAGAGTAATCTGATTGTAGCATATGATATAATTTTAAATTCTGTCCTAAATATGGTAAAGAACTACAAGGAACACCAACCATTATTCCAGCTACAATTTGAAAATTCAGCCCCCAGAAAGAAGAAAAAGACACTACGAAACACTCTTGGGGGAAAAAAAAGGAAGAATACAAAATGACATTAGAAAGATGAGAAAATAGGATAAATCAGCCTTAATTTTCCCACAAAAAAACAACCACTAGACAGCTATCCGTTGATGAAAATGGCCCTGTTAGGGCTCAAAGTCTCAAAGAAGGTGCAGCAAGACAGTAAAGCAAAAAAAAAAAAAATGTAGAATAACCACACAGACGGTATAGCTGAGGAGATCAGCATGCCAGAGATATCTGGAGACAGCCAAGAATGAGGAAGAGTGCAGAAACTATCACTATCAGCCATGCAACAGGTGCCACCATGGTTCCCAGCAGTCTGCTCTACAGAGAACACTGACAGCTCTCACCACTGAGGTAACTAATAACCACTGCCACCAGATAAGAGAAATGTTGCTCTATCCACCACCAGGAAGAAGCCACTATTGTTCCAAGCCAGGACTAAGGCAACTATGCCCCAGATCCATGTGTGACCCAGACCACAGAGTCACAATCTTTCCATATGTACCCAGGCTCCGGTATTGGCTAGAAGGCTGCATCATACACACCCATGCCTCAGACACCAGAGCCACCTTCACTAGGGGCTTAGCCCCTCCCCAGGCCCTAGAGCCATGCTCACTGTGCACCAGCCTGTGCAATGAACCCTAGCTCTTCCATTCCTCTATGAGTGCTATGTTTCAGATATCTGAGCCACTGCCACAGTAAGCTAAGCCACAGCCCAATCCTGTAACCACTGTTGCTCTGCATGTGTTCACACTCCAGTCCACATCTCTGAGGCTACAACATGCACATGTATAATATAGTCAACAGAGCCACTGGCTTCACATGCTAGCCTTGCCCAGGGCCCTGAAGCTGCAGACTCTCAGTACACATGTGGGCTACAACCTCGGCTCTGATGTAACCCTTTGAGACTCTGACTGCACATGCATCAGACATCAGAGCTACCACCACAACAAGCTAGCCCACACCCAAGGCCTCAGAGCAACCCCAGCTCTCCATCTGTGACTACATTTGAGAATGCGGTTCTGCATCCACTCAACAAGTGCCTGCATCCTAGACACCAGAACCATCAATGCAGCAGGGATATCCATATCACAGTCCTCAGAGCAGCAATAGACTGGCACACACCAGCATCTGGATCCCAGAGCCACTGTCAGTTCATACATGCTCGTGCTCCCAGATCCAAGCTGCTTGACCACTCCACAGATACCATGCATCAGACATTAGTACCACTGTGGCTGCAAGCACACCCACAAGCCAGATCCAGCACGAAAGGATGTCACCTCTGCCACAACTTCCCTTAGGGAAGTAAATGAGATCAGAAGAATTCTGTCGGGCTTTGCCACTATTGCAGATACCTATCGCCTTGGCCACTGTACACCACTGAAATCTTTACCCACATCAACCACAGCTGAAAAAGCTACATGGACACTAAACTGCCACATCCTCATTGGATCCTAAATTGCCACACCCCACCCAGCTAGTGTATTCAAAACCACCCACAGGTGAAGATCTTTTCATACAAAACCAGTCCATAAAGTCTGGAAGCAGTGACACTATCAAAATCTGCCAAAAAATATTCAAATAATTATCTTAAGGAAGCTCAGTAATCTATAAGAAAACACTGATAGACAACTTAACAAAAATAAGGAAAAACAATACACAAACAAAATGAGAAGTTTAACAAAGTTTAACAAAGATTGAAATCATAAAGAACCAAACAGAAATTCCAATGCTAAGGAATACAATGAATAAAATTTAAATTACAAAAGATAAATAAAAAAAAGTCAACTGTATAATTCATCAAGGAGAAGAAAGAATCTGTAAATGCAAAGAAAATTATTTGAAAATATATAGTTAGCGGAAAAAAAGAATAAAGAATAAAAAGGAATTTTAAAGGCTATTACCTATTGGATACAATGTTCACTATTTAGGTAATGGGTACACTAAAAGCCCAGACTTTACCATTACACAGTATATACATGTAAGAAATCTGCACTTATCTCCTCTAAATAGATAAAAATTTAATTTTTTTAATTCCAAAAAATAAATAAATCCTACAGAATTTATGGGACAGCATCATGAGTGTTATGATTTACATTATAGGAATTAAAAAGGAGAAAAGAAAAAGGGGCAGAAAGCTTATTTGAAGAAATAATGGCTAATAATGTCCCAAATATGGGGAAAGATATAAACATCCAGAAAGATAAAGTCTCCAAACAGGTACAGTCTAAATTATATTTTACCAAAACATACTATAACCAAACTGTCAAAAATTAAAGACAAAAAAAGAATCTTGAAAGCAACAGAGAAAAGAGCATTCTCAGATACAGAATCACCATAGGGCTATCAGCAGTTTTCTCAGCGAAAGTTTTGCACTCTTAGAGAGAGTAAGAAGATATTTTCAAAGTTCTCGAAGAAACAAAAACAAACTGCCAGCCAAGAATACTTTACCCAGAAAAGTTGATCTACAAAAATGAAAAAGTGATACTTTCTCTGACAAACAAAAGCTCAGGGAATTCATCACCATCAGGCTTGCCTCAAAAAAATGCTAAAGGGAGCTCTTCATTTTGAAATGAAAGGACACTAAGTAGTAACACAATACATATGAAAGTATAAAACACACTAGTGAAAGTATGTATACAGTAAAATTACATACTATAATATTATATACAGTGGTCTGTAAATCACTTATGTCTACAGAATAAAGGTTAAAAGGCAAACAACATACCCACAGCTACAATAATTTCTTGAGGTATTCACAATATAAAATATATAAATTATGACATTAAAAACATAAAATGCTCAGAGGGGAGTAAAAGTATATCAACAAATTGCAAAGGAAGATAGCAAACAGGGAATAAATGAACAAAGGATCTACAAAACAGCTAAAAAACATTTAACAGAATGGCAATAGTATTGGAAACCAATAATTGAACAGGAAATTGGAAACCAATAATTGAACAGGGGTGACTATATTTATATCAGACAAGAGACTTTAAGTCAAAAAAAAGTCACAAGAGACAAAGAAGGTTATTATATATTGAAAAATGCTCAATTCATCAAGAGAATATAACAATTGCAAATATATACATACCCAACATTGCAACACATGAATATATAAACCAAATATTAACAGATCTGAAGAGCGAAACAGACAGCAATACAGTAATAGCAGAGGCCTTCAATACTCTACATTCATAACGGACAAATCAGACAGAAAACAAATAAGGAAACCTTACATTTGAACTATACTTTAGACCAATGAACCTAACAGACCTATACAAGATATTCCATTCAATACCAGAATATAGAGCTTTCTCAAGTGCAAATGGAATTTTCTAAAGGACAGATCTTGTGTTAGGCCAATAAGACTTATAAAATGTAAGAAGGCTAGAATCATATCAAAGATTTCCAATCACGGTGGCATGAACTAGTAATCAAAAACAGAAGAAAAATTGAAATATTTACAAGTGTGTGGAAATTAACACACTCCTGAACAATGGGTCAAAAAAGAAATTCAGGTTGGAGGGCCCAAGATAGCCAAATAGGAACAGCTCCAGAGTGTCGTTCCCAGCAAGAACAACACAGAGGGTGAGTGCTCACTGCATTTCCAAACAACTTTTCACTGCCCACAGACCAGGAAATTCCTGGGCCGAAAAAGGCCATGAGTTTTCAGCATGGCTGGAGCCACAGGTTGGCGCACAGAAACTCTCACAAATCTGGGCGGACCTCTCAACTGGCACCTGG